TTTTACTAATTCAAAAAAATAGATACACATCGAGTCCAAAGAGATAAAATTAACATCCATTTATTCATCAATAAAAATAATTTGTCTTTCAAGGACAAAATAAAATGAAAGAACATTTTATTCCCAACCATAAACTATATTTGAAATCTGACCAAAAAAAAAAAAAAAGATTCCCTTTTTGATTAAAATAAAATTTCTGTCATCATCGACCGAATTACCAGTTTCAAACTCACGATCTCAATTTCCTGAAAATAGAAAAACTTAAAGGGGTGAGATTTAAGAAAAAATCTCAATAAGCGTGTACCGTGAATAAGTATTTTGCATTTAAATCAAGGAAAAACAAGATTTCATATTATACATAGGAGACAAGGGAATTACTCTGAACATAGGTAGTAGTAAACTCAGTGCATAGCGCTACTAAACTCCAGCCTTCTTATCATAAACATATATGACCCAAAAACGAATTTCTAGAATTTAAAACACAATATACAAGTTCACATAACTACATGCAACATCACTTACCTCGTAAATTTCAAATGAAAATAATAAAATGCGTGTGGAGTAGTTGATTTATTCAAACCAGCCTTTAGTCTTTTGTGCGTGCAGTACCAAAGAAAAAGATTCTTGTGTGTGTGTGAGAGAGAGGAAGGTGAAAGACGTGTGTGTGTGTGTGTGTGTCCAAATTTAATATTATCATATTGAAAGAAAAAGATTAATCTTCCTTTCTAGTCTCCACATGGCATTAACTATTTACCAAATTCTTACCATGATTCTTGCCTATCTACCATATACACACACGTACAGATTTGGAGCAGACCTAGATTTAAAGGAAAAAAGATCATACCAAATTTAATCAAATCTTTAACTATGAATAGTTCACAATTCGATCCCTAAACAATATAAACTAAGCGATTTGATCCTTAGATATTCAAATTCTGTCCTTAAGGTCATAATTTTCAATATTAACGACTATAACGAATTTTTGGAGTGTTGCAACTCGAGTCTTTCAAATTGTAAAAATCATGTTCACATAACAAGCTGTAGCCTGTGGTGTTGGAAACACATTTCAATAGGAGTAACAAGCACAAGTTTGCATCGCTATTTACCCAATGTAGTAAAAGTCACAAGCAAGCATAAAAATATTCAATAGGTCACATAGAATATGAAGTTAAAATTCGTGGTAAAATTGTTATTAAAGAATAAATTGAAGCGAAGAGTTTGAAAAATCAAATGAGTGATTAAAGATGAAACTTCGTTGAAAGATAGGTGACCTCCAAATAATATATGGCCCGTGTTTTGGTGGGGATTAATCCCTTTTTAACAATCATTATTTGAAAATTCTTTATTCTACGTACTTACTTTCAACTATTCATTCACACAATAAGCCCATGTTTGGTGGTATTTTTTTTTGGAAAATATTGTTTTAAATCGTGATTTTTTTAAAAAAACTGCGCGGTTAAAAGTACAAAAAAGATTTGAGTTTATGTGTAGAATATTTTATTGCGTAAATGTGTGGTTGAAAATAAATACGTAGAAAATTTTTGTTGAAAGAATGAGACAAATTGGTGCTAAAATATTTTGCATGTAAATCCAAAACTTTTCTATATTTTTTAACCACGCATTCACTTAAAATTCACTATTCAAAACATTATATTTCTCGAATAATGATTGTCAAACAGAAGCTAAAATTAAATTTTTAGTAAATTTTGATAAAAAATGATAAAATACCTAGTTAAAAAGTTGTGAATTCGTGAAAATATGTGGTTAAAATTAATTGGGAGCAAGAAATGAAAACTTTGAAGGTTAAATCCATCCATTTACATAATACGGGAGCCCACAAACAAGAACAATGTGGAGGAAATAGGTGTAAATGACCTTTTCATTCTTGTGTAATTCCAAAATGACCTTTGACTGGTAAATATGTTTAAAAAAAAAATTTTAAAGTAGGACTTTAGAGAAGTAAAAAATCAAAAATACCCCCGCTTTGTCTTCACGAGAAAATTGACCGTCACATTTTTTTATTATTAATCAGGCTATTCTATTAACAGACCATTTTTTGTCTGTTGAGGTCTGTTAACAGACCATTTGCACCAATTGGTTTGTTAACAGACCATATTAAAT